GACCATACTAGGATCTTCTCCTTGATCCATAAGCCCTTGCCCGACTGATATATCCAGGGCTCCCATTTAGCAACCAAGCCTTAAACATGAGAGATACAGAAGGACATCACTGAGACACCCGGAATTTAACGGCGCGCGTTGCTGAGTGCACTAGCATGGCTGGGAACACCCACACGCGAGAGTATGCACAGGGCTGCGTCGACCGGGACAGTGGCTAACCATGATCCGCAGACCTATGCCTGGCGTGTCCAACGTAGACGGTGGACGAGCTAATACTGCCTCCGGAGTATGCCTTCCAGGAATGGAAGTCGATAAACCCCCCGAGCTAATCATGGTTGTGACGCGGAGATACCTCCCGGCGACACCAACTGCCTGGTGAACATTGCGGTATGCCGTCGTTGGCCATGCGGCCGTTCTTCCAAGGACCCTGGATCGGCCCAATACACTCACCCGAGAGACAGGACTTCATGTTCGTACAGGGCGACGTCCCCACGCTGACCGCGTACATGATTGCAGCGGACCAGCACGACGCCTGCTGCAGCATGCTGCGGCCGCGTCCAACGGCCGCCCATCGCATCGAGCTATGATCCGGACGACAGCTTGGTCGTGTCGAGTCTTATCCTGTGTTCTCAACAGAGAGATCAAGATTTAAAAGACTGGGTGTTCGCCCAGTTGTGTCGATGGACATTTCCGGGCCGTACTCTCCGCTTCTCAATTTCATACCGAGACCTACACACGCCAGGTATCCTGTCACTCAGTTTATGTTACCACCTTCAAAGACTTCAACATGTCCGGCGTAGACCCATCCACGAGCACGTCATCTGGCAGTATCCCTGGCCCCGAAGTAGTTATCAAACTGTGAGATAGAAGTGCAAAGGTTGGTCTGTGAACCTGAACTCACTGCGCCACTGCTCATTCTCGCCAGGCCTTTGTCTCAGAATCAACCGCAAGAGACTACGACGGTGGTTTGGGTCAGAGGACTCCACAGATCATATTGTACACGCAGCTCGACAGCAGCTTACACCGTGTGCCGCGACTCTTATGCAACGCAATCGACCAAGACCATTCGTTTGGACGTGGGGTTGAACGACCGGTTGATGGCGTGACGACGCTTCTTGTTTTACCCATAGCTTGAGTATTAGTAACGGTCAGCTATCAACATACTTTATATCCAGGCACTTTCGCAAGTTCATACCATACCGTAGCTGATGTGTACTTGTCTATGTCTTTGCATGTTCCGTGCCGGGCCGAGCTCTCCGTAACCCGTTTACCACTCCTCGGCATCGTCATGTGAGCCTTACACGGGCTTCTGCACCAGCTCTAGTCGCACAGCTGACAGCAGCGTCCCATGCCGGCGGTCGCCCAACCCGCGCTGAACGAAGCTCAACCTTATTCCGCATCGAATTCGCACTTGCGACTGACCGACTCGACCTTTCCAGCAAAGCGATCCGCCGACGCGATGTGCTGTGAGCAGAACTGTAGCAACAAAGAGCCGCCCTGCTGCGCGATAGGGGCGTTCGTGAGACCGGCGCATGCCTTGCCGCGTGACAACAACGACCGCCTCTGTCTTCGACATCAATACTGATGTGCCTTTCGGTTGGCAGGCCATATCAATCCATCTCTGTTGCCACCAGCCGCAGTAGGCCTACGGTCCGTCGTCCGACCCGCGGGGTAGGTTTCATCGCTAGAGAGCATGCCGACACGCAATCTCAATTCGGGAAGATAGTTCGGTAGGTTATCAGTGGCTGGCTGCTCAGCGCTTCGTATTTGGTTCGTTTCTCTTGGGCGCCTCCCGGGTGAGCGGCCGGGCGATTGACGTGCTGGTCGTTTGATTTGGGGAACAGCTCTTGGTTGACATGGCTTGACGTGCTGTCGATTCCGGCGTCAGACGTCGCGCGCGGAGCATGGTTCTTCCGCATCCGACATCCCTCGTGGGGCCGATCATCCAAACCCCTCAGTACCCAAACTGTCAACGTCGCTAAGTAACCGAAGGTCCGCTCTTCGTCTCACGTAGGGGCTGCGGAGGTCGTACCACCCTGATTACGCATGCCGGAAATGGACAACAAGAATGTCGAAGCTTTCACACTTACGGACGAAGTATGCCGACTCGCGCAAGACTCGGGAAAGGTTCTGATCAACGGACAGCCTCTCCCCCTGGGGATAGATAAGCATGGAATTCGGTCAGCCGCAAAAGGCCTAGCCTACGATTGGCGTTCGCCGCTTGGCGACGTGTGTGCAATGGTAATAGATCAACGCGTAGGTAGATGCAATCACCCTCGAGACGCCACGCTGACCGGACGAACGAGAGAGAGAGACGTTGAAGTCGCTACTCCGATGTGGCCACGCACGAACAAGGCGACGAGCGGTCATGCTCGAGGCCGGCTACGCTATCACGGGTCGGCCGGGCAGCACAGACATTTTCATTCCCATCGGCGGTCTTCAAACCACCGTCGAATTTGCACCCGGAAACAACCAAGACGCGGCGGGACGGGAAGCATGGGGTCTGCCGATTGGGTACCAAGTGCGCGAGGGCGTCTCGATACGCGCCATAACGCATGATATTACTATGATCATAATCACGATATGGCCAGAGGTTCAAGCAGCTGCTCGACCTCACAGTACAACGCATAGCTCAACCCCACCTATCTGTCCCGATCCGGTGTGGATTATGGTTCCGACTGATCCCGCCCCGGCCGCCGAACAGCCCAATCCACCCGGGCACGGGCCGCAATGGCTCTCCGGAGTCCAAGCCTGTACAGCGCCCTCGGAAGAAACGCTACCCATGAGACCGACCGTAGCATTATCCAGCTGGCCGATATTACAAGAAGCCACGGGGACGTCGATGCCGGCTGCGACATATACATACCCCTGTGGAGGGCCTTGTGTAGGGAGTTCTGGAGGGCATGAGAACTGCTCTGGCGGTGGACAGTCTGGCGGCTCATGACCAGCAGCGAACGACGTAAGATCGCAATGCATGGCACTGCAGAAGATGGCCGTTTGGGGGGGGGATAAGTGGACGGCGTTGTCGTCTCGTACCGAAAACTGCTGGGCTGCGTCGTGTGAGACATTCGCAGTGCTGGGACGCTGGCGGCTCACATTTCGTGCATTCTGGTCGTCAGATGCGCTTCTTTCTGTGGTGGCCGTCATTTCTCCCTCTGCTGTGTACTGCGGTCCGACTGGGCCTTGTGGAGGGCCAGCCCGAAGCCGCTTGTGAGCCCTTCGCGGACCACTGGGCGCGGCGCGTTTGAGGCGCGCAGTATTGGGGCCGGTAGTGTCGACCGTACCCGACCGGGCGTTGCGCGCCGATTGTGCTAGAGTGAGAGATATCTCAGGTTGACCTTCGGTGAGGAACGAGAGGCATCGCTCGAAGTCGTTGTAGGTGACGTTGGCGAGTGGGAAGGTGCGGCAGAGTTCGTCAAAGCAGTCTTTCTTGACGTTGACAAGGATGCTGGCCCAGACCAGAAAAGGAAGATAGAGTGCACGATCCGTAATGTGTCTCTTGTGCAACTCGTCTGGTATCATCTTATGTATCTGGTCGAAGAAGGCTGTGTCGATGTTGGTTGACCGTGCTAAAGCGTCGTAGCTAGAGATGGACCTTCTGGCTGAAGACCTGGTTAGCGTTGACCCCATCCTTCTTTGCCAGTGATGCTTACCGTGTAGAAAGAGCTCGAAGGCGACACGCCCGCCAGTCATGTACAACTTGTCCATCCATTCCGATATCTTTCGCGGCACTTTCCGATAATGCTGCGACACGTTTCTTGAAATGCTGTCGGTTGTAGACAGATACCCGCTCACGGCGCGATCGAGCAGTTTTGTGCTGACGCCGAACTCAGCTGCGACACTACACTCGCCGAGGAAGATGAGGTCCGTAAATGAAGATAGACAAGCCGATCGATATTCATCCCCGCCAATGATGCGCCTTCTCTTTTCCGTCAAATACTTCTCGAAGGTCGTCAGGTCAAAAGATGTTTCTGACGTAGATGCTGGGGGATTCGATGACACAAGCGTGCGGAGTGCTGTCCGTATGCCATCCGCAGTAGTGAGACAGAGAGCCTCGCTGCGTGTTTGCCAAGCCTCGAGGGTCTGCGGTAGGTTTTTGCAGAATATTGAGAGGTTGTCCCTCGGGCCTTTTCTTTCTGGCCTCCGCTTCGCCAACCTGTCTGGCACCGATAGCCGGGACTGGGAGATTGTGAAGCTGGAAGGGCTCGCGTGGGCCAATGTTGCTTCATTGGCGTGCGGATCCCATCGAGAAGGAAATGACGAGGCATGGGACGATTCGGTCGCGGTACGCAGGTGCGCCATGATTGGGGTGGAAAAAGTGATGCATTGAGAAACGGGAAGACTGTCTTGGTCAGCATCTGGGGGTTAAAAAAAAACAGAGGCAGCACGTGGCAACAAGTCGCTAGGCCGCAAAGCGTGTCGGCAGCGCGCAAGATCGCCTAGCTCGCTTGGGACCGTCAGGAGGGCGGTGGGCCAGGTCACCTTAGAACTGAGGACACGTCCTCAGTGACCAAGAACAGTAAGCTGCCCGATCCCTGCCGCGGATGGCGAGACCGTGGTGTGGTGTGAGCCGGGGAAGCGGTGGAGATGGCTGATCCTGGACGCTATGCTGCTTCTGCACCGAGGACAGGTCCTCAGTCTTGAAGATGGTAGGCGGCAATGCGAGAGAAGGGGGAGGGCTACGGCCAGGGTGGCGATGGGGTGCGTGTATTCGTACTATGCAACTTCAACCAGGGACGGAGAACCTACCCTCCACATTTGTACGCTGTATCGCAGAGGGGTGTGTGTGTCATCGTCCAATCTAGCCTCAGTCATTACTGAGGACGCATCCTCAGTACGGATTGGGTATAGCGCATGCACTGATCAAAAGGGGGCAACGGACTCACCTCTCCAGCACACTGCACCGGCGTGCGAGCAAGAAAGTGAGACGAATGTGCTGTCTGATCCGGGCAAATAGCCAGGGGATAGTCTGTGACCCACCCTCATTTCTTCGCTTCGCATGTCGTTCGCTCTGCACCAATCATGTGACTCGATGGTCTCCGATTACCACACTCTATAAGCAAACGCCTCTACTGGTTGCAAATCGTAGCTATACGCAGTAGAAATAGCAGCAGCCCAACAGCGGAACACTCGCCCTACGCAATCAAATAGAGGACGGGGTCCCCCCACCATACCTGCCGCCGCCCGCCGAATTAAGCAGCTCTGACGTCGGATCGAATGTCCATTCTGGCGCATTTTGCTTGTTGACGTTAAATCTTTCTGAGGCTTCAGCGAAAGTCCGGAAACCCTCTTGAGTTGCATCGCGCTCTTCCTTACTTTTTGTGCTTGGCCCACATCATTTGGTCCTGCTTGTCCACCTATTAGGAGGCGGGGGCTAGGTCTTGGTCTCATCAGGCGGAGGTGCGCGGCGAGTGATGAACAGGCTGGCATTCAGGGGTCTCGAACAGGGCAGTGGCCTTGCTAAGGTGCTGTGCTAATGCGGCGTTCTGTGATCCCCATGATTTTGTACATATTCTTAGAGGGCGTTTGTCAGGGCCGTAATGTGACGCGTGCAGAGTAAGCGTCTTAATGCTGTGTTCGCAGTAGAACCTTCTGATAATAGAGTCATCAAACATGAAAGCCATCTTCCAGGACGCTTTTTTCTTGGTGGGAGAGCAGCCGTCCCGGATGAGTATGCGCCGGCCCTGTGGAGGTCTTCTGGTGGCATCTAGACGCTCGTCCCGCTGCTGTGGCCGGCGTTGGCGGGGTCTGCTGTGCTTGAAGCCTTTTCATCGGCAACGGCAGCTCTGCATCGGCATAGCACGTCGGCAAAGAGGCGGCCGACCCAAGACCACTGACACCCCAGCGTATCGTGACCAATGGGCCCCCTCGATTGCCCTCGGCACACCTTCCAGGACGAGGAGTGGCAGCGTTCCGCGCAACCCGGCGCCAGGCTTGGCTACGGTCGCCCCTCGTGCCGAGTCAGTCTACGAGCAGCTCGCACCTGTCGATAGGAGATGCGGCCGTTCTGGAGCGTTCAGAAAAGGGGCTCGCGCGGGGCTGCTGGTCATCGGCTGGTGGCGACGTGCCTCCTCATGGGCCGGGACCGATGCTGCTGGGACAGCCTGGCGGATGTCTGGGAGAGGTAATTGCAGCGTCAAGGGCAGCTCAAGAGGTGGTCGACGCTCGCAGACTGGCAGTCCGCTGGTCTGGGTAGCCGACTGGTCTGAGCAGGCGGGCGTTGGCCGATCAGGGGCCGCGGAGCGCTGCGATCATCGACTCGAAGCAGCTAGTCAGTGCCGCCAGTCCAGTCATGTTGCTCCAGGGTCATTACAGCCAGGTCGTTATTCTCTCCATGCTGACTTCTCGCTATGGAATCCCCGTGACACCACTACTCTCGCAAAAGGGGTGCCACATGCAGCCTAAACACGGTAAAGCAACAGCTAGCGCACGTAGTATCGTTAATGCCAGCAATGACGCGGAGACCTGT